CCTAGCACGAGCCTGACTTGGGGCTCGATCTCAGAACCCTGAGATTATGACCTGAGCAGAAATCAAGAGTCAGACGCTTAACCGACTGAGCCACCTCCGCCCCTATATTCATGATGTTCTAAATGTGTTATGTCAAGGTCAGTGTTGACATACCTGGATGTTCAATTAAATGTATTGGATAGATATGTGAACTAATGTATGAAGAGAGGGCTGATGACATTATTATTTCTGTTGCAAAAACGAACAAAATATTTGTAAATTGCAAACTCCATAAGGCAAGCTTAATGTCTTTGTTTCTAATATAAACATAGTCATAAAGATACCTACTATGTAGTGAAGGTTTGTCATGGCCAGATTGAGGCTTTTAGAGGCTTTAAACACCAAGAGATTATGGTGGCCACCTCATGTGTAATTAAAATAAAACAAAAAACAAACACTAATCTGTGACATGAGGATTGGAATGTCCAACAAAATACTCATTTTCCCTACATGATGACTACTTGAATATTTGTTCCTGGAAAACTTAATTTGTGCTTATTGATGTATAATTTACACATAAGGAATTTAAAAATCTTAAGTGTACAGTTTAATTCTACATATGAATACATCCACATCAAGATACAGAAAATTTCCAGCACCTTGAAGGCTCCAGGGAGGTCAACACCACCCTGCCCCAGGTAACCATTATTCTAACTTCTATCACCATAGATTAGTTTTGCCCATTTTTAAACTTCATATAAAAAGAATCACGTAGCATGAATTCATTTGTGTTTGCATTCTTTCACTCAACATTGTCTGTGAGATTCATCCATGTGCGTGGCAGCAATTTGCTCATTTCATTGTGTGGTATGGCAGGATATGAATATACCACATTCTGGTACATGCTTTTTATTGCATGCAGACATTCACTTCTGTTTGCTGTATATCCAGGAGTGGAATTGCTAGGTCATCTGATAAACCTAATGTTTATTTTTGAAATGACAAATTGGTTCAAAGAGTTTTGGAATGCCCCTATTATGTTGGTGCTAGGTACTATTCTAAATGTTTTACATTTATGAACTGTTTTAAATTTTTACAACAACCCCATGAAGTAGCCACTGTTAATAACTTTTGCTTTACTAGTGAGGAAGCAGAGACCCTTAGAGGTTAGGTAATTTGCCCATGGTCACAGATCTGGTAAACAATGCAGAGTCAGGCTGTGGAATTTGGGCTCTTAACCATTAAGCATTTCAGCCTCCTAATACAGCTTTGGGCCCTCTCAGGTTCCGGGCTCCATGCTAGGTTCTTTACGTTTATTCTCATTTATTCTAACAACTCTATTACGGTTGGCTATATTATTTTTGTTTAATTGACGAGCTTTTAGTATATCTTCTATCACTCTGGCTGTCGCCGTCTACTGTTTGTAGTCGGCATTTGGAGAGTGGTTGTTGAGTAAAGAGAAAGATTATTGAAAAGAAGACACTAATTCCCTAAGAGTGTAATGCCATTTATTCAAGTCAAAAACATTTAATTACCCTATTAAGAGCCAGGTAGAAGGAATTAAGGACTCAGATTAAAAAAGACACGGTCTCTCCCTTGAGGTGGTCACAGAAAGGAAGTGAGAGCCAAGTGAAAGCGCAGTACAGAGTAAGTGCTACCAGCAGGATCTGAACAGAGAAGTGGGTACACTGAGGCTGTGTGTGTGTGAGAAGGGAAGACCTCATGAAGGAGCTGGTGATATCTGGGCTGAAACTGGAAGGATGAGGAGGTTTCTGCCAGGTCAAGAGGAGGATGAAGCATTCTAGCCAAAGGCCACTGTATGTGCAATGGCAGGTAACTGTGGAAAGGCCTTGCTTGAATGGTATGCAGCAAGGGGTGGGGGGTGGGGGGGGAAGAGAGAGGTGGGGGGGGAAGAGAGAGGTGGGGGGGGAAGAGAGAGGACTATGGTTAGAATGGTGGAATGTGGCGAGAAGGCAAAATAAATGTTTGGTTAACTAGATTGCCTGGGAAGGGACTCAGTTGCCTTGGTTTAAAAATCCCAGTTGCGGGGTGCCTGGGTGCCTTCAGCTCAGGTCATGATCTCAGGGTCCTGGGATCAAGCCCCATGTTGGGCTCCCAGCTCGCAGGGAACCTGCTTCTCCCTCTCCTGTTTGTGCTCTCTCTATCTCTCAAATAAATAAATAAAATCTTAAAAAAAAAAAGAAAATGTTAAAAAAAATTAAAAATCCCAGTTGCCTTTTGTTAAAGGAAGTAAGACCCAGCCTGTTTGTGATGGTGTACTACTTTTACGGATGGCCTGCTCTATTTCATATTTTAATAGCTCTAGTAAGAACACTGGGAAAAGAGCTCCAGGGAGCAATAGATAGTAATTGAGCCTGGTATAATTTGTAGGATATTGGCCTATTCTAGACTTATCTAATAAGCTTTTACAACTGGATGGAATCTAAAACACTAAATCTAATTTTCTCTCATTCTCTTCCTCTCTTTAATAGAGGAAGAAAGGGAGGCTGTGTAAGTTAATAAAAATATGAAATAGAGCAGGCCATCCGTAAAAGTAGTACACCATCACAAACAGGCTGGGTCTTACTTCCTTTAACAAAAAGGCAACTGGGATTTTTTTTCATTCAACATCTAGTGAGTGAAGCAGGGTGAATGCAGTGATGAAGAGCACAATTTTTGAGTCAGGCAGACCTGAGTTCTAATCATGTCTTAGTAAATAGCTGTGTGACCTTCGGCAAGTGCTTTAGCTTCTCTGAGCCTCACTTTCCTTATCTGTGATACAAACAATCACATCTACATCATATAATCTCTTTGCCCTTCACCTTTCCTAATAGCACAGGGTCACTGTGATAGAAGTAAAAAAGAGATCAGAGATCAAAGAGAGGGGGAGGTCAGCTGCCCCCTCAAGCAGGAACTCTCAAGGTGCCAGAGTTGTGGTGGGGTCCCCAGTGTCTGGGTTCAGACCCTGTAGGTCTGAAAAGTTGACGCTATCAGAACTTCCAGAGTATACTGGCTTACTGGGGAGAGACTCACACTAACAAAACACACAAGAAACTTATGAATAGTCTAGAATGCAAGTTCATTACCCTCTAGCGATATATCTTCTCATAACTGGCTCATCCCTTCTCAGTCTCATATTTTGATCTTGAAGTAGAATAATTGGAAAGAGGTTGAGCCCAGAATCTGAGCTAAGAGAGTTAGACAGTCTTCAGAACTGTTTCACCCAGATTGTGAGAAAAGGCTGATGTTTTCACAACCAAGGACCCTTCTATAATAGCCCAAACCTTTGTGTCTAGCAGACATATAATATACATTCTTAGTGCTGGAGAAACAACACATTCCAACTGTAATTGCCCTGTTTAGGGTCGATGTGGACCACATCTTTCTATTAACACAGGCATCTTCTGCAGTGATATAGCTGATAGGATTAGAATCACCTTCAGGTACATTCTGCTATTGAAAAAACACTCCCATAGCCTTTGATTGAACTTGGGTGTTTCACAAATCTATACCAGCATGCTTACCAGGGATAATGTCTACAGATAGCTGATTTTAACTTCCAGAGTTTAGATTTCCTCTATTTTCTAGTTTCAGCAACCTATATCCCCTTTGCCTGGTAGGTAGCAGGTACTTGATAAAGGTCAGTTCAATAAAGGTGAGGATGAAAGAGAGATCAGAAATGGGCTCAAGGAATAGGATTTAAGTCTACTCTTTTCTCTATAGTATTCTACTTCCTGTCCTTATGGGATACTCAGGAGAGGGTGCAAATGGTGTGAGGGGTGTAGAACACTCCAGGTTGGGAAGCTGAGGAGAAAGGAACAAAATTTTCAGGAAAGATTTCTCCAGAAGGCAATTGGAGGATGAAGGAAAACAAGTCTGCAGGGCTGTTGCTGAAGTCTAAGAGAGCGATGAGGAGGCAGACAGGAGCACGGAGAAAAGGCTGAAGAGACGTTAGGGAAGTGACCGGATATGCTGTTGAGATGCAGGTTAAGTGTAGATTCCGGCTTAGGTTGTAATTGAGGGAAAGAGAGCAAACAGAGGCGACTGGAGGTCTTTTAGGTAAGTTCGCGTTTGGATAGGTCGAATTGTTGGGATAAATGGGTTGAAGTACCCAGTAAACAGTTTGGTGTCAGGGTCTGAGCTTCCGGAGCAAATCTGGATGTCTATAATTCAAAGCATGGAAGTGGGAAGACTCCTCGGGAAGAGTGAAGGTTGGAGGGGGGTGTTGGGTAGGAGGCAGAGACCAGACAGACACGGGAACGCAGGGACGAGTAGAGGAAAAGGAGCGGGAGGAGGAAAGTCGGAGGACATTTTGAAAGCCAAGGGAGCAAGTTTCAAGGCGGTATCGGATGCCTCCTGGAGGTCGAGAGAAGGAAGACAAATCTAAACCGGTCCTCGGTTACAGTGGATTCCGAAGAGCGTAGGCGGCTGGGGGTGGGGCGAAGCCACACCGAAGGCCACGACTAAATTGCAGAGAAAGAGGGCGGCCTTAGTAACATTCTTTTGGAAGTCTGGCTGTGAAGAGACCGAAAAGGCGGGACTTGGAGGGTAACTTAAGGCTCAAGGGGATAATCGGCTTCAGAATCCGTACCCTTGAGCGGGAGCAACTCTGCTTCTGCTGGAGGCCCTCTGCAGGCCTTTTGGGTCCTTCTTAGGATTTCCCTTCTAGCTCTGAACTGGAAAAAAAAAGACCCCCCCCCCCCCCGCCCTTCTCTAAGCTGGAAACAAAATATGCCATTCAGTAAAAGGCGAAACAAAACAGCGTTTGGTCCGAAAGCCTTCTTTCTTTAAAAATCCTGGCATGCAAATAAGGGGCTTTAGTGTGGCTCCCAGCGATTGGTAGGTACTTAGAAATCCGTCATTTCCTCGTAGTGCAGGATGCAAACGAAGAAGCTGCTTTCTGCTTTCCTATTGGCTGTCTGGTTGGGCTACTTCCCTTCACCCCTCCCGGTAGCTCTTATAAATTACACCAAATAGGTTCTCCTTCCCACTTCCTTCTCCTTGAATAAGAAGCTGTAACTGCGTTTTTGGCCGTAATGTCAGGACGCGGGAAGCAGGGAGGCAAGGCCCGCGCCAAGGCCAAGTCGCGCTCGTCCCGCGCCGGCCTGCAGTTCCCGGTGGGCCGAGTGCACCGCCTGCTGCGCAAGGGCAACTACGCCGAGCGGGTGGGGGCCGGCGCGCCGGTGTACATGGCCGCGGTGCTGGAGTACCTGACGGCGGAAATCCTGGAGCTGGCGGGGAACGCGGCCCGAGACAACAAGAAGACGCGCATCATCCCCCGCCATTTGCAGCTAGCCGTGAGAAACGACGAAGAGCTCAACAAGTTACTTGGGGGGGTCACCATTGCCCAGGGCGGTGTTTTGCCCAATATCCAGGCGGTCTTGTTGCCCAAGAAAACGGAGAGTCACAAGCCTGGCAAAAACAAGTAATTAGGAAGGTCGAGACCATCCCCACTAACCCCAAAGGCTCTTTTAAGAGCCACCAAAATGTCAATAGAGGGGCTGATAACGAAATAGCGCATTAGCTCTTTTTTTGAAAACTTGGGTGGCTCTAAAAAGAGCCTTTGGTCTTTGGCTTATCAGTGTTTTATTTACTTTTGGCTTTGTGGCTTTCAGTTTTCTTTGGTAAGAGAACGGCCTGGATGTTGGGCAGAACGCCGCCCTGGGCGATGGTGACTTTGCCCAACAGCTTGTTCAGCTCCTCGTCGTTGCGGATGGCCAGCTGGAGGTGGCGGGGGATGATGCGCGTCTTCTTGTTGTCTCGGGCCGCGTTCCCCGCCAGCTCCAGGATTTCCGCCGTCAGGTACTCCAGCACCGCGGCCATGTACACCGGCGCGCCGGCCCCCACCCGCTCGGCGTAGTTGCCCTTGCGCAGCAGGCGGTGCACTCGGCCCACCGGGAACTGCAGGCCGGCGCGGGACGAGCGCGACTTGGCCTTGGCGCGGGCCTTGCCTCCCTGCTTCCCGCGACCAGACATAATTGAAGGTGAGGCTAAAACACCTAAGCTCAAAACCTCACAACAAAACAGGATTGAAAGACCAGCGATTGAAAAGCTTTTATAAGCTTTGCTAGGGGTGGGGTCAGGAACGAGTTTTTCATTGGTCCTGAATTGGCTCCAGAACTGGCCAATGAGGCCAAGAGTAGGTGTTGTTACGTAGTGATTACTGATAACGCAAGGTCCCTACAAGGCCCAATGGGAACGAAGGGCTTTTGGAGCCCTAATTTGCATACGGTGGTTATAAAAGGATCAGGCCCGCCCATTCTCGCACTTCTTTTCTTTGCTAACGAGTGAGGTGTTCTACAATGCCTGAACCGGCAAAGTCAGCTCCCGCGCCCAAGAAGGGCTCGAAAAAGGCTGTCACCAAAGCCCAGAAGAAGGACGGCAAGAAGCGCAAGCGCAGCCGCAAGGAGAGCTACTCCATCTACGTGTACAAGGTGCTCAAGCAGGTGCACCCCGACACCGGCATCTCGTCCAAGGCCATGGGCATCATGAACTCCTTCGTCAACGACATCTTCGAGCGCATCGCCGGCGAGGCCTCCCGCCTGGCGCATTACAACAAGCGCTCGACCATCACGTCCCGGGAGATCCAGACGGCCGTGCGCCTGCTGCTGCCCGGCGAGCTGGCCAAGCACGCCGTGTCCGAGGGCACCAAGGCGGTCACCAAGTACACCAGCTCCAAGTGAGTCCCTGCCGGGACACGGCGCTCGCATGAGTCGCCGGCCGCTTGACTCCAAAGGCTCTTTTCAGAGCCACCCACCTAGTCACCAGAAAAGAGCTTTGTTCACTTATTTCCCCCTCACTTGATCTCACAAAGTAAGTTACTCTACTTGTGAAAGATCATGGAAGATGGCACACGTAGCTTTTTAAGCCTTTCGTACTTGAGATTTCTGGCGCGTGACTGGCTCTGCTTTTTAATCTAGGGCGCGTCTTGACTCCTTAACTGTGCTGCTTAGTTTTCCTACAAGACCTTTCCGAATTAGGTTATTGAAAATCCGCTTCTCCCCTTCCGTCCCCAGACTATTGTGTCCTGGTGACGTTGTTGGGTGTATGTTTCATCGGTGTTCTAAAACGAAATGAGTGATTTCGGTCATCCTCACTTAAGAAAGGACCCCAGGACAACTAAACCCGGGTCCCGGGAACATTGCGTCAGAGCCCTGAAGAATTCTCCCGAGCGTTTGGCGAGCGTTTGGCAGCTGCCGGGGTGCCCAGTCACCACTTCTGCCCTGCGGTGTGGCCTCCTGTGGATACCAGCGGTCTGGGCACTGAGGGCGGGGCCTGCGCTGCCGGGTCCTAGCCTTTCCCTGATTGGACGACATGAATATTCAAAATCACGCGCCCGCTCCGGAATTCGTAGGTTCTGGTTTCCGCCGCTCCCTTTGGGGCTTTCAAATCCCTATTATTTCTCGGTTTGTGGATCGTTTTTGCATTTAATTCTCTCTTCTTGGAACGCCCCGGCCTTGGGTCACTGCAAGGCGCTGGTCATTTAGGGCTGGGCTCAAAAGTCACCTCTCCGAGACCTTCCCAAGTCCCACTCAGGAATTTGCGTCTCTCGTTCCTGCCTATCACCTGGTCTCATTGTTTTCTCTTCCTCCCAGCAGCTGTCAGAAGTTGGTTCGTTTATTTTCGTATTTATGGTCTGTCTCCTCAAGCCCTTAACAGACTTTGCTGGTCTGATTTTCTGCTAAATATAGTCAGCGCCAGTCTGCCTGGCACATAGTGGACACTTCAATACTTAACTGAATTAAAATTGGTCGAAGTAATTTTCCCACGCTATCCCTTTCTTAATCGCTTCCTGGATGGATGCGTGCCGTTCATTTCCATTAGATACACGTGAAGACATGAAAACGGAAATGTTTTTGGAGCTCTTTGGCCAAGTCAGTCTGGGGTCACTTCAGGGCAATAGCTCTGAGGAGGCCCGGGTTAAGATTCTTTTTGTGCACCAAAAAGGAGGTGGTGGTGGTGGTTGGTTTTCCCTTTATGCTTCTTGTAGTGTAACCTCTTTTGGATTTTCTTTAAATTCAGAGCATTGGTCACTGGAAAGATCCTCTTCCCATCTCCTTTTCTGACACCCACCATCTCCATCCTGATCCTCTGTTCCCCATGGAGATGAGCTTTTAATTTACACTCACCTTCTTGCTTATCAGGAGGCCTTGAAAAGATAGACCCTGTAAGACAGGCAAGGTTAAATAATCCCCTTTACAACCCAGAGGTTGAGAAAAGCAAAGGGATTGGTTCACTGGTCATGCAGCTAACATTGTCCACCTTTGTATCCTCAAATGCGCAGACAATTGCATTTTAGTTTTATTTTATGTAATTACAAAATGTTCACTCTTTCTGTCTAAGCCTTGATTTTGCTGATGAAGACACTGATGGGTTTGATCAGTTGTTCAATTCTGCTTTTGGCTAAGGGGTCCTGGAGTTGATCCTAAGGGTTTCATGAATCCAAATGGACTCCAGACATTATTATAAACTGAATTAATCTTATGTTTCCTACATGTGTGTTTTCAAATGTGTGTAGATGCTATTGTTATTAATAAAATTACCTGTTAATTTAAAAGCTTGGCTGGATTCTTTTTATCTGCCATATATTTTCTCATTAAATGAAGTTAGAGGGCCCCTGGTGGCTCAGTTGGTTAAGCGACTGCCTTCGGCTCAGGTCATGATCCTGGAGTCCCGGAATCGAGTCCCGCATCGGGCTCCCTGCTCGGCAGGGAGTTTGCTTCTCCCGCTGACCCTCCTCCCTCTCATGCTCTCTGTCTCTCATTCTCTCTCTCTCAAATAAATAAATAAAATCTTAAAAAAAAAATGAAGTTAGATAAAACCACTGCTGGGTCTGTGGAAAAGCTGGTTGCCTCTGATTTGGAGAATGAATATTTATAAGCCATTGGCCAAACTTACTTCTACCCAAGAGGTGCACTGGGGCTGAGGTAGCTTGTTATGGGGACACTGTTAATGCCTAGTCACTTAAAAAGACATGACCATAAATAAGAAGCATTATCAACAAGATAGAAGAAATGAAGTCCTTAAAAAAGTTTAACACCTATAGACTTAGTATGGACCAGACAATGGTCTAGGCCCTTTACACATATTGACTCATTTAATCCTCACAAGAACCTCATGAAATAGTCACCATTATTATCTCCCATTTTATAGATGAGGAAACTGAGGCACAGAGAGGCTTCTTCTCAGAGACTCCAGAGAATAAACTCTTAGATCAGGGTCAATCTCTGAAAATCTGGACCCCTCCTTGGAGTTTGGGGGGAAACTGTCTAGGCTTTAAAATTAAAATTAAAAGGAATATCACCTGCTTTATTCTCTTTAGGGTGAATCCTGTATATAAATCTGTGGTGGTGACGATGGTGGTGGCTGAAATCCTTGGGGATGGGATTGGGGGGGTTCTGGTTCTCCAACCCAGAGGCCATACCTCAACTTGCTTACCAGTTGGGAATCCCTTCACTAATATGAGAGAGTCTTGGTTACTGGTTTCAGGCTCTGTCTGGGCACGGTGTTTACTAGGAAGGAAGTTATAGAGTGGGGAAGGGGGAAAAGATGAATTTGGAATTTTAACTCTGGAGGGGAGCTAATTAGTGATGGTGAATTTAATCCTCCTAAAGAACTTCTTTGATCACTTCCTCCTGCTCAAACGTCTGTATACATTTGCTTATGTTGGGGTTAATAACAGTAATTGTTATAATAATAATTGCTTCTACTTAGTGAGCACTTAACTGTTTACAGGGCCCTCTGCTGAGTGTTTTACCTGCATTGCCTCATCTCTTCTTCACAGCCCCCGTGGAAGTAGGTTCCGATACTATGATCCTTATTTTATAGATGGAGGAAACAGTCTTAGAGAAGTTAACTTGTCCAGGATCATTGAGGAAGTAAGTGATGGAACTGCAATCCAATGTACACTTTTAAAAAGCTTGATATTCAGGGGCACCTGGGTGGCTCCATCGGTTAAGCGTCTGACTCTTGATTTCTGCTCAGGTCATGATGTCAGGGTTTGTGAGATCGAGCCCAGGTCGCCCAGCGCAGAGCCTGCTTAAGATTCTCTGTCTGTCTCCCTTTCCCTCTGCCCCTCTCCACCGGCCCCTAAAAAAAACAACAAAAACAAGCTTGATATTCAAAGCTCTCCAACATCTGCCTCTCCCTCCTTCTATAGGTCTATTTCCTACTGCTCCCTTATGGGGTTATAGGGTTAGGTGGGTTTTCTGCTCTACGCAAAAGGGTCTGCTCACCTCCCACTAAGCCCATCTGCTCGGGTCTGGACTGGGACTGCCACTTCCTTCTGGCTTGGCCAGAGCTTTCTTTCTTTCTTTCTTTCTTTTTTTTTTAAGATTATTTATTTATTTGAGAGAGAGAGAGCATGGGGGGGGGAGGGTCAGAGGGAGAAGCAGACTCCCTGCCGAGCAGGGAGCCCGATGCGGAGCTCGATACGGGGCTCCAGGATCATGATCTGAGCTGAAGGCAGTCGCTTAACCAACTGAGCCACCCAGTTTCTTTCAAGCCAAAGCCATATCTTATAGCTCAAATGACACTTCTGCCTTCATTTCTCTACCATATCCACCCGTACTTTTTTTAAAAACAGCTTTATTGTGTTATAACTGGCATACAATAAACTGCACGTTTAAAGTATAATTTGCTAAGTTTTGACATACATATATATCAATGAAAACATCACTATACTCAAAATAATGAACATATCCATCAACCTACCCCAGAGTTTCCTAGTGCCACTTCATAATTCTTCTTTCTGCCCCCTTCACCAATGTCCTCCTTTGCCCCCATCCCTGCCCTCAGGCAACTGCTGGTTTGCTTTATGACATTAGAGATAGTTTGCATTTTCTAAAGTTTTATGTAAATGAAGTCGTACAGTGTATTGTTTGTGTTTGGCTTCTTTCACTCAAATCCCTTTTTTTTAAAAAAGAGTATTTATTTATTTCAGAGACACAGAGGGAGAGCATGAGCAGGGAAAGGGGCAGAGGGAGAAGCAGGCTCTCCGCTGAGCAGGGAGCCCGATGCGGGACTCGATCCCAGGACCCTGGTGTCAGGACCTGAGCTGAAGGCAGCCGCTTAACTGACTGAGCCACCCTGGTGCCCCCCATTCACTTGTTGATGGATAGTTGTTTCCAGTCCTTCCACTTTTTAATTTAATTAATTTAATTTAATTTAATTAATTTCTGATTTTGTGTCGTGATAGTTCCACAGATGAACATGATAAACTTTTTGCCCTCAGGTGGGAAGGAACTCAGATGGGACATGAGACCTATACACAGATACCTATTCTATTCAAGTGGGAGAAAGTGTTAGGGTTACACCTCCCCTCTCCTAGGCTCACACCTCTCGAATCCCTTCCATGTTCTTCTGCTAGGGTGACCTTCCAAGCACAGATCTGACCTCATCACCCACCTGCTCATAAACCTCCAGGGGTCTGCCTCACTGCCTCAGTTTGGCCTTCAAAAGAAAAAAAAAAATAATACAAAAAATGTAAAACTTAATCAGCAATATTCATACCATATTTGGCTCCACAGTGTGGTCTGGGGGAGCCCTGCTAACATAGCTCACAATATGGCTAATCAGAAATTCTGGCACAGAGAGTAAGCGTGAGGGCCAGTTCTGTTTAGGTCTCAGTTAAGTGATCCTTAACTGGGAGACTATCCCTGAGCCTGGGGAGACTAGGTTTAATCATTCACATGGGTGATGGAAAATCTGTATCTACTACTTTTATAAATGTTTTAAGTATCTATTTGATATTATTAAGTTCTATAAGAAAGGCTCTCTAGGACCATTCCTCTTCTCTGACCCCTAAGATACCATTACTTCATTTTTTCATTCAATAATTTGAGTATCTGTTAGATATCAGGCAATCTGCTGGGCAGTGAAGATACAAGGTTCAACAGAACAGAGTGGCTTCTGACTTCCTGGACTTTTAGTAGCTAGGAGGGAAGTCAGATACTAAAGCAGTGACCATAATAAAGTGTGACAAGTGTTAAGATGGGCTAAGTGCCGACACAGAGAGTGCAATGGAGGGAGGCCTAACTTGACATTGGTGTGGGTGAGGAAGGCCTCTGGGAGGAAGGGACGTTAGGATGAGACCTGAGGTGGATGGGAAGGGAGAGTGGTCCAGGCAGGGGGTGGAACAGGCAAAGGCCTGGAGGAAAGCAAAAGACAGCAGGCCCAGAGAGGTAGAAGGACCTGCAAGAAGTCTAGTCTGGGTGGTGTTTAGAGGGCAAGGAGGAAAGTGCAGTAACATGAGGTGACACTGGCAGGCAGAGCCAGACCTTGCCAGATTAGACCAGACCAATGGAAACAGACTTTAGAGAACCCTATCAGCTCCTAGGCTAATGTGACTATGGAGACAGAAAGGAGCCGAATGGCATCATTGAAAACAGAAAAGTCAGTCTCAGAGGCCACAGGGTCTAGGTCCATTCAAGCACCTTTTGGGGCTGATGGCACCTTGATCCTCAAATGAGCATCCGATCACTGCAACAGGGCTTCCCTGAACATTGAAATGGCTGCATCAGGCCTTCCAGGTTGATAACCAGCCACCACGGTGCTCCGTGGGGACCATGAGATTCCGAGGGGACTGTGAGATTCATAATTGGTCAAATGTAAAGGTTTGCTAATGCCCAGTGCTGGTTAGGGCTAGGGAAATGGGGTAGTCTTATACACTGAGATGCTCAACAGACTGAGCCACCCAGGCATGCCTGTATTTTTAATTCTTGATAATTGAGAAAACATATACACAGAGGCAAGGTACCTGTTATCCAACTTCATCAGTTATCAAACTTAAGACTGTCCATCCTGTATCATTTTGAAGCAGATCCCAGATACCATAGTATTTCATCCACAAATATTGCTTTATGTATCTCTAAAAGATAAGGACCACAATAGCAAGTCACATCGAAAATAATTAACAATATTTCCTTAATTCATCAAATATCTAGTTGGTGTTAAAATTAACCTACATGTCACAGGTTTAAAAAATGCTTTGTTCTAATCTGAATCCAAATAAGTTCTATACATAATGGTTGGTTGACATGTCTTTCAACTCTAATATGTTTGCCATTCATCTCTTTTTTTCTTGTAGCTTCTTTGTTGAAGAGACTGGGTTGTTTTTCCTGTGGAGTTTTCCAATTGGGATTTTGCTGACGGCTTCCCTGTGGTGTAGTTTATCACGATTGCCTGTCCCTCTACATTTCCTGTAGAAATAGATGGAGTAAAGGGAACAGAAGCTTGATTAGATTTAGGTTCACTTTTTCACTCCCTGGCAAGACTGCTACATAAGTGGTGCTATTTATTTATTTATTTATTTTTTCTTTCTATCAGGAGACACAGTGTCTGACTGCTTCCCTTTCTGTGATAACATCTGTTGATGCTTAATGCTTAGATCCTGTAATTCATTAGGAGCTGCAAAATGATATTCTAACACTCTTTAATTTATTAGCTAGAATGATTCAATAAAGAGAAAGCAGTATTATTTTTAATATTAAACACTTAGAAACTACTTAAATATCTTAGCAGGTGAGAAGAAAGTGATAGGGAGGGTCCCTTTTTTTTTTTTTAAAGATTTTATTTATTTTTTAGAGAGTGAGCGAGAGAGAAACAGCATGAGAGGGGAGAGGGTCAGAGGGAGAAGCAGGCTCCCCGCTGAGCCGGGAGCCCGATGTGGGACTCGATCCCAGGACCCTGGGATCATGACCTGAGCCGAAGGCAGACGCTTAACCATCTGAGCCACCCAGGTGCCCGGGAGGGTCCCTTTTTGATGTAAATAAAAAGGGTGCATGTGTATTGGTGTGTATGCATGCGTACGTGAAGGAAACATTTTCTGGAATTTCACATAATAAAACTAATAAGAGTGGCTACCGATAAGGAGAAGAGTTTGGTTAGGCCAGAAGGAGGCTTTTACTTTTACTTTTTTTTTTTTTTTTAAGATTTTATTTATTTATTTGAGAGAGAGAGAGCATGAGAGGGGGGAGGGTCAGAGGGAGAAGCAGACTCCCCGCTGAGCAGGGAGCCCCATGCGGGACTCGATGCGGGACTCGATCCAGGGACTCCAGGATCATGACCTGAGCTGAAGGCAGTCGCTTAACCAACTGAGCCACCCAGGTGCCCCCTTACTTTTTCTTTATGTCTTTCAATATCATTTGAATTTTTGATCAATGTATGCTTGCAATCATTGTTAGCAGAGGTTATTTGGGCAGTGGAGTTATTGGCCTTAAAGAAAAAAAAAGAGCCCCAGTGCTGTGAGAATATTTTTGGTGAAAATAATATGTTTCAAATACCTATCCTTTTTTTAAAAAAAGATTTTATTTATTTGTTTATTTGTGTGTGAGAGAGCATAAGCAGGGGGAGGGGCAGGCAGAGGGAGAAGCAGACTCCCCGCTGAGCAAGGAGCCCGATGTGGGATTCGATGTGGGACTCGGTCCCAGGACTCTGGGATCATGACCTGAGTCGAAGACAGACGCTTAACTGACTGAGCCACCCAGGCGTCCCTCAAATACCTATCCTACTGCTTGGCACCTAGAAGACCCTCAGTTCATTTTAGTTAATTCTGAAAAACAGTTTAAAAAATCTTCAACAAGATAACCAGAACTCAATCTAGACAGCAGCAACGGACCCCAGACACCCCTGGGGTTTATGTGTGGACCTCTGGTGCAGGGAATGGGACTCCGCAGTCCCAATCTTATGAAAAATACAATCATTTAAAAAATGGTGAACAGTGGGGTGCCTGGGTGGCTCAGTTGGTTAAGCGTCTGCCTTTGGCTCAGGTCATGATCCTGGAGTCCTGGGGTTGAGCCCCACATCGGGCTCCCTGCTCAGCGGGGAGTCTGCTTCTCTCTCTCCTTCTGCCCATCCCCCTGCTTATGCATACGTGCTCTCTCTGTCGAATAAATAAATAAAATCTTAAAAAAAAAGAAAGCAATATGTCTTTAAAAAAATTGTGAACATCAACTTTAAAAGAGTTATGCTCTGGGTCGCTCTTGCTGTCTGTCGCCTTGAGGTGAACTAAGGCCAGGAACCCTGCGTCATGTCGAAGCTGAATCGGGCCACTTGGGCCCTCAGGAAGCCTGAGGCTGGCGGCATAATCCGGACCATCATGTGGGCAGGCCAGGCCATCCAGGCCCCCACTAGTCCCATCCTGGGTCAGAGAGGTGTTTCCATCAACCAGTTCTGCAGGGAGTTCAACGAGAAGACAAAGGACATCAAAGAAGGCATTCCTTTGCCCACCAAGATTTCTGTGAAGCCTGACAGGACATTTGAAATCAAAATTGGACAACCCACTGTTTCCTACTTCCTGAAAGCAGCTGCTGGGATTGAGAAGGGGGCCCGGCAGACAGGGAAGGAAGTGGCAGGCCTGGTGACCTTGAAGCATGTGTATGAGATCGCCCGAGTTAAAGCCCAGGATGAGGCCTTCGCCCTGCAGGATGCGCCCCTGTCCTTTGTGGTTCGCTCCGTCATTGGCTCTGCCTGTTCCCTGGACATTCGTGTGGTGAAGGACCTCAGTTCAGAAGAGCTGGCAGCTTTCCAGAAGGAGCGAGCCGCATTCCTGGCTGCCCAGAAAGAGGCAGATTTGGTAGTGCAGGCAGAAGCTGCCAAGAAGTGACCCCTGTCCCCCACACTCCAGGATTTTGAATCTGGAATGGAGGCCAGTTGGAAAAGCTGTACCAAAGGGGCAGAAGGGAGGCAACACCAAGCTGATTATTATTTCCCTGACTTTAAATTATATATTTTTACATGTATGACAGTCTCAAGAGATCAAGCTTAAATAAACAACCTTTTGTCACACTCCCCCCCACAAAAAAGAGTTATGCTCTGAAGTGATTTTCCTGACTAGTCAACCTCACTGATGAGGTGTCGGTGAGAGATTTGGTCCTCAGTCAGACCAGGAGAGCCAGTCAGGCTCTTCAAGGAGGACTCAGTCACGGACGGGTGTGAAATTAGAAGAGAGTATGAAGAGCTGGTCCTGGACAGTTGGTGGGTTACTGGGCAAGTCAAGAGCAATATTTGGGGAAGGTGATTCTGACCTTCTTATCTTTATTCTGACTAAGACATGCAGGATAAATTGATGCTCCTAAATTTTACTCATATTTTTCTAAAATTTACAAATCACACATAATCTGAGGATCTATTACTATATTTGCTGTATACATTTAGTAGAACCATTGCCCCCATTTATTTATTATTCCTTTGTATGTTCATTCTTTACTCCCTTGCAGACAGTCATTCTAATTTTCCTTCTCTGTGTTCTTGCAAAAAGTGTATTGCTTTCTAGGTATTAAAAAATAATTATCCTTGCACACTATATATTTCATTTATATGGCAAGATGGGAGGGGGTTGGGAAGACACTGGGAAGTTCTTTTGAGATGACTGAACAGATCTGCATCTCGACTGTGGTGGTGGTTACGCAAGTTTATACATGGACTAAAGTTGCATAGAATTACATGCACACACGCACATGAATGCAGGTTTAAAAACTTGGGAGCAGTAATTAAGGCCTGTATATTAGTTAATAATGTACCAATGTCAATTTCCTGGTTTTGATATTGTATTACAGATATATAACTTGTCACCATTGGGAGAAGCTGAGTGAAGAGTACTCTTTGTACTATTTTGGCAACTTCCTTATTCTATTATTATCCTATAGATATATTATTCTATATCTATTCTATTATTCTATTATCATTATTTCAAAACAAAAACTAAAAAGCTGCAGAACATGCTTTACTACTAACTAAATAGATGCCAAGGTTTGGGGCGCCTGGGTGGCTCAGTCGTTAAGCGTCTGCCTTCGGCTCAGGTCATGATCCCAGGGTCTGGGATCGAGCCCCGCATCGGGCTCCCTGCTCGGCGGGAAGCCTGCTTCTCCCTCTCCCACTCCCCCTACTTGTGTTCCCTCTCTTGCTGTGTCTCTCTCTGTCAAATAAATAAAATCTTTAAAAAAAAATAGATGCCAAGGTAAACTAGAATGCATATATATTTTTCGATTGCTTATGTATTCTTCCTTGGTGCCAGACGATGTTTTAAACACTTTACATGGATTAACTCAGTTTATCCTCCTAAACATCATTATTTCCATTGTACAGATGTGGAGATGGAATCACAGAGAGGTTAAGTAACATGGTTCAGTCATATGGTTGGGAAGTGGCTAAGCCAGGATTAAAAGCCAGACTCTCCTTTCAGACATTATCTGTACTACTAATGTCAAAGAAGCAAGATATTGATGCAGCACTTATAGCACTAATGTTTCTAACAATATTAGAAATAACCAAAAATGTAGGAATGCTGAAATAAAGTATAGCAACTCTAAGAAAAAAAAATCCTCTCTTAATCAAGCCACAACCACCACTTAGTCTAACAAACCAGGTTTATTTTGAAATTGAAAACTAGTTTTGAAAGAGGGAGAATGCATACCAAAGAAACTGTGATGTGTCTTACCAAACAAAGGAAAAAATAGAGTTAATGTAGGTTGTGGGGAAGCCTGGAGTGTAGAGTTTTGTTGGGCTTAAAGCAAAGCAGGGCTGTGTGAAAGGATGGACATCAGAATTAGGCTTTGAAGTGCGTCTAGGATTCTGTTTCCTTGGAAACCACAAAGTTAAGATAAAGGTGGAATGTTGTGTTTAGAAACCTCTTATTGTAGTTTTGTACCTGGGTTGAAGATCAAGGCTGATTCTCAGTGTCAAAGTGATTGGGTCCTCTTGGCAGGAGGGGGATATTTCATTCTTGCTGATGTGCTTTCAAACAGCGAAGGTTCTGGTTGTCTGTGATTTTTAGAATAGGTTTCTCAGTGAATAAGAGAAGCAGTGGTCACTCAAAGAAGGGTTCGTGACTCCATAGCTGCAGCATGTGCTGGGAGAGATGTTTTCTGCTAACTCTTTGGCTAGCTCTATCTCTGTTCTCCCAGCCTGACGAATTCCCGAACATGTTTTTATTTTCTCGGTTCTAGTTAATTTCTACTTTCTGAGAATGTACATAAGTGGGATCCTGTTTTATATCATATTCTTTGTTTACTTCCCCCTTCTCGAACCTTATTTTAAAAATTGGCCTTTCCTGCTCAACTCCCACAAAGCTCAACCCGCGTTCTGCCATCGGTGTTGTGATGTGAACATTCAATGTGTTGACTGAACTGCTGCATTTAAACTTCACAAAGAGCCAACATCACACTTTATCTCCTCACTCTCAGTAACAAACACCCAGGTTTGCTCCATTTCCCCATCACAAAAAATGCTGCAAGGAGCATCGCTGTACATTTCTCTTATGGACCTATATATCTTTTGGAAAAAAATCCAGGAACACAACTCTGGTTATTAGGATCTGTTTATTCTTTTCTTTTTTTTTTAAGACTTTATTTATTTTAGAGAGAGAAGGTGAGCGAGTGAGAGGGGGAAGGACAGAGGGAGAGGGAGAGAATCCCAAGCAGACTCCCCACTGAGCACGGAGCCCATTGCAGGCTCAGTCTCACCACCTTGAGATCATGACCTGACCCCAAATCAAGAGTCGGACACCTAACTGACTGAGCCACCCGGGCGCTCCGGATCTGTTTATTCTTAATTGAAGAGTACCAGGCTGCCCTCCATAATAGTTGTTCCAGACTTCCAACACCGTTGCATCAGCACTCCTCTGAGCCCACTTCCAGGCCAACTCTTGGGTCATCCAACTTTCTGAGGTTTTCCACTCTCTCTGGTGTTAAGTGATATCTCATTGTTTTCATTTTTGTTTCTTTGATTGTTAATGAGTTCAAGCGTCTTTACATGAGTTTGATAGCTTTTGTGTTTGTTCCCCTGTATATTGCCTATTCATATCCTTTGTTCCAACATCGTTCATAGAATAAAACCTAGCCCCTTCCTATTTTGGCATTGAGTCCTTGGTACCAAAAGCTCACCTTTTCTTTTTCCAAGATTTTTTTTTTTAAATTAATTTCTACATCCAACATGGGGCTCAAACTCACAACCCTGAAATCAAGAGTCACATGCTCAGGGGTGCCTGGGTGGTTCAGTCAGTTAGGCAGCCATCTTGATTTCGGCTCAGGTCATGATCTCAGGGTTCTGGGATGGAGCCCCGTGTGGGGCTCTGCGCTCAGAGCGGAGTCGGCTTCAGGATTCCGTCTCTCCCTCTGTTCCTCCCCCTGCTTTCTCTCTCTGTCTCTCTCTCTCTAATAAATAACTAAATCTTAAAAAATAAAGATCTTGTCGCATGCTCCACTGACTGAGCCAGCCAGGTGCCCCTGACAGCTCCCTTCTCATCACTGCCCTTTGCCCAAGCTACACGTGGCCCCCACAATAGCTCTTCCATCTTTTTTTGACTGTCTCTTCTGCCTGGATTACACCGCCTTCCCCTCGCCCCCAATCTAAACATGTTTCAAATCCTAAATATTCTTTAGAACCCAGCTCAAACTATCACCACCCTTATTTGCTCAGCTGGAATGACCCTTTCCCTCTCAACTCCCACAGAGCTCAACCTACCTTTCCCTTTGTCTTCTACCATAGTAGGCCTTCCACCCTAGCTACTGAGGTGGGTATCACCTTCCTACAAAGACAGGCATAGGTTATGTGCAAGCACAGAGAGATTCAGGGGGCATGTTCGGAGAAATATTAAGACTTTAAAAGTAAGTAAGATGATTTTTACTTTATTCTTTGTAGTTTCCTCTAACCAGTGTTTTCCTAACTATAAGTTGTAACCCTTTAGTGGGTTATGAAGTCGATTTACTTGATAGAGATCGCCTTTTTACTTTTCCCTTTTTTAAGAAGCATAAAATGGAGTATATCACAAATAGTATCATTTTGTGAAACTAGTTGCAATTTATATTCTTATGTGAATGTGACTAGAAGGCAATGGAAAATGTATTTCTTACTGTGGGTTGAGGTCAAGAGAGGTTTGTTCTACTGTACTGAAGGGTCACAGAACATATTCCCCCAATATATGCTACTTTGGCATATTGACTATTTTGAGCTGTAGGCACTTGAAAAACAGAAAGAACAGACTTTCTCTGACCACCCCCCACCCCCCACTTGCCTAAAGGCAGACCCTCCAAAAAGAACTCAGTTGTCATAAATCTCTTCCCTGGGAATTTCATCAAGCAGGGAAGATTGCCCCTTACCACAGGAGAAGTGGACCCCACAGCCAGACAGACTTTGTCAGAAACTATCATACCTCCCATGTATTCTTCTAAGGGCCTGTTCATCTTTCCTAAAAGGCATTTACTCTCCACTAAGAGGCCTCCAGGCCCCCTCCCCTTTCACTATTAAGATGGTATTTAAGTCTGAATTCCAAGCCACCTTGGGGAATTACTTATTTTTTTCCTGGGCATCTCCCATGTATCCATGAGGTATGCATGTTAATAAACTTCTGTTTGATTTTCTCTTGTTAATCTGTCTTTTATTATGGGAGTCTCAGCTAAGAATGCAGAAGGGTAGAGGGAAAATTATTTTCTCTCCCCTACAGTACAAATATTGATATTATTTGTATCTATGTGTGTATCACTTTCCCCTGAAATCGTGAACCTAATACAAAAGAAAAGTAAAACATAAAACCTAGGCTCAAATTCCATCCTGGTCACTTTTTAGCTGGATGATCCATATCCCCAGGGGTCTCATCTTCACCAGAAATTTCCCCTATGTGTAAAACAGGAGTGAAAAGCCCTACTTCCTTCCCAGGGTTCTTGTGGAATCAAATGAGAGGACATAAGGGAAAGGCTTTTGTAATTCATGAAACACCCAGGAACCCAAATATACTTATTTTCTGGGTCACAATATAGAAGAATCTCTAACTGCTACTCATCTAGAGATTATATAATGTACTAATTGTTTCCTGTGTGTTAGTCTTTCTACATCATGATTGTGAGTTTCCCAAGGTAAAGATCTAGGACTTGTATCATTTGTGTTTATCATAACGAAATGACTAATAATTATTAATGTATTGCCATGTTGAGATTCTGCCCTAAGTACTTTGCATGGACTGTATTTATCTCATTTTATCCCTATGGTAATCCTATGAGGCATATACATTTGCTGTCAGTATTTTACAGATATTCAAACTGCAACACTGAGCCCTTATTCTAGCTCCATGTCTTTTTCTCTTCCAGTTTTTCCCAGACAAGTGAATCTGGGGAATAGTTGCCTCGTTGCCCAGACAGTTCAGGCCTTCTCCTGGTTACAGCAGGTATCTAGCCAAGGGCCACAGGACTGTCTGTGTACTGCTCTGAAGCCTGGAGTTCCCTAAGTGGAGACACAGAGTCCCTTCTGACCCCCACACTGTTCGGACACAAGTAGTAAAAATGCAATCTGTTCCTCTTGGTTTATACTCAGGTATAACTGATGGACAGAAGGGCCTTTTGGAGATGGAGAGTGCAGGGGTACCTGGAGACGGAAAATCATGGGAAGTCTGGGCCTGCTTCCAGAAGGGCCTCCTAAGAGGCTCCAAGCTCAGCATCTGCAAAAGTCATGTCTACCTGGAAGCTCAGAATATGACCTTATTTAGAAATAGGGTCTTTGCAGATGTAATTAAGGATCTTCAGATGAAATCCTGCTGGATTTAGGGTGGGACAAGAGAAAGGAGCGGGAAAGTTGGACACAGAGACATGGGGAAGAAGGCCATGTGAACACACAGGCAGAGATTGGAGTTTTGCTGCTGGAAGCCAAGGAAAGCCAGGAGCCACTAGAAGCTGAAAAAGGCAAGGAAGTATTCTCCCCGAGAAGCTTTGGAGAAAGCATGGCCCTGCTGATACTTTGATTTCAGACTAGTCTCCAGAACTGTGAGAGAATAAATTTCGGTTGTTTTCAGCTACCAAGTTTGTGCTAAACTGTTATGGCAGCCCTCGGGCACTAACACAGGGTCCTAGCAGCAGTTTGGGTGTGAGCTGTTCCCAGAGCAGGAAGAGTCTGCCGCTGCTGCCAGCCCACAGTGAGGCCGGTCGGGGCTCTCCCTGCCCTGCCGTGGCCTCAAGTAGCCCCACAGAGGTCCAGGGCTGAGGGAGCTCAACCCCCGTCTAGGGGTGCTCAGCGCCACTTGTGAAGATGGAGATGCTCTGGGGAGCTCTGAGGAGGCTGGGGAGACCCATGGGGTGACCCAGTCTGCTCACTGTGGAACACCTCTCCCATTCCCGATCCCTTTTTCCCCTCGGCCATCTTCCTTCCCTCCACTCCCCTTTCCTCCAAGTACACTTCCTACTCAGCTCCTCATCACACTTTCCTCTCCCTCCCCACCAAATTAGAAGAACTTGGGGTCTCTCATGAATGAAAGGATGGTGTATTTCCTAATCCTGCTTTACAAATTACCCCAAATTTAGAGGCTTAAAACAACACAAATTTAGGGGCACCTGGGTGGCTCAGTCGTTAAGCGTCTGCCTTCGGCTCGGGTCGTGATCTCAGGGTCCTGGGATCGAGCCCCGCATCAGGCTTCTTGCTCAGCGGGAAGCCTGCTTCTCCCTCTCCCACTCCCCCTGCTTGTGTTCTCTCTCTCGCTTTGTCTCTCTGTGTCAAACAAATAAATAAAATATTAAAAAAAAGAAAAAAAACAAAACACAAATTTATTCTCTTACAGTTCTCGAGGTCAGGAGCCCAAAATGAATCTTAAGGGGCTACATTCAGTGTCAGGACTGATTCCTTCTGGAGGCTCCAGAGGGAGGATCCGCTCCTGTCTCTTCTAGCTTCTAGAGGCATTTCTTGGCTCCTGGCCTCAGCATCCAATCTCTGCTTCTGTCATTACATTGTCTTCTCCCCATGAGGCCTCTTGCCTCTTTCTAATAAGGTCTGTTATGATGATATTTAGGGCCCACCTAGGTAACCCAGGATAGTCTCCCCGCCTCTAGGTCCTGAATTTAGTCACACCTGCGAAGTCCCTTTTGCCAGTTAAGGTCATAGATTCTCAGGTTGCAGGGGTCAGGATGTGGACATCTTGGTGGGAGACTATTCAGTCTACCCACAAATGTGTACCCTTCCCTAAAGCATCTCCCTTGAAGCCCTGATCCCATTGAGGTGATTGGTCACCAGAACCTGGCTAATGGCCTCTAGCCATTTGTGGACAAGGGTTATAGCCCAGGGCAGCTACCTTCTACCCTCTTCTGGGACCAACCTGCAGGAAGTTCCTTCCAGGGTGCAGGCTAGACCTACTTCTGACCTGCAAATTCCTGAGAGTTCCCTGAGAGGTAGGGGGGAGGGCGTAGATACTGAGTGCTACGTCCTTTTGAGTAAGGATTCAGAGGCTAAGGTCTTTAGGTCCCTCATCAGGCATTTCCTGACCATTGAGGCATTCAGGATGCGGACTTACAGGGATGAATAGGACAAAAACGCCTGTCCTGAGAGAACTCAGAGTCTGATGGGGGAACTGGGAGGAGAAATTAATCCTGGAGGAACTGTTAAAACCAGAAGAGAGTATATGCTTGCTAGGACCTGGGGAAAGTACAGTTGGTCTGAGAAGGAGGAGCAGGGGTTGTGGGCGGGGGGGCACATGAGGAAAGCTTCACAGGGCTGAATAGTACAGACTAAACAGTAGGTCCACAAAGGAGGGGAACATATCTGGACAGAAGAAAGGGTTATGCCAAGTCATGGGAGGAATTGCAAATTGTAGACATTGGGTCGGGTGAGAACAAACCAGCGCAGATAGGGGAATGGCTGATGAACATCTAATGAAAAGCCAGGGAAGGTTTGCAATTTAGGAACTATAAGGGTATTTACCTTTATAATTTTGTTTTGACTTTTCTGAATAGCTAATAATCGTATTAAGTTTTTTTCTATTGTTTATTTTGGATCAGACTTGAGCTGGTCACTTTATGGGTATTGTTTCCTTAAATGTCTCCAGATACCACCACCAGGCAGGTGCCGGTATCCCCATTTTACAGACGAGGAACTGAGGCCTGGTGAGATTACGCATCTTGCAAGTGTCATAGGTAGTAAGAGGCAGAGCCAGGACTCAGACTCAAGTCTGTGGCCTTGCATGCAGCCTCTGCTTCTTCGTACTGATCACGACACACGGGCATGCATTTCATGTGGAGGATAATAGGGTGGAGGAGATGGAAAGAGTGTAAAGCTCAACTCTGGCACAGGGTGGAAATTTTTCCCCTCTTGATAGTGGTGGAGCCAGGTGGGTAAGCAGGTAGAAATGAGTCCGCTGAAGCAGCGAGGCCCTCAATCCTGTACATCATGAACTTCCTGTTGCCTCCCCTCTCAGCTTCCAGTATATGCTCTTCACTTGGTGTTTTCGACTTCAGAATGTGAACTTTGGAGTCCCAGCACCTAGGCCGGAACCCCTGGCTGTGGCACTCACTAGCTGGGGGAGCTTAGGCAAAACACTTTAGGCTTTCTAGTCTGTAAAATGATGATAAAACACCTATCTGCCTTGCAAGGTGGTCATGGTGATTAAAAGAGAGATGAAGTAAAACGCTTAGTCGACAGTGACTGAACTTGACGAACACAAGTGGTTGTCATCATTTCTGAATGGCATGCATAATATGGCCCTGCTGCTACCATGTTTGCCCCCTTGGGCAAATGCTGTCCTGGTGGTCCCGTCGGGCTCCAGCTATCCTTGCCTCTTGGCATTCCCTTCCTCTCCTAGCCCCATCCCTGCTCCGGCTGCCTCAGTCCTCTTCTCTTCTCCGGGACCCCGGCTAGATCTCATCAAATTCCCCGCCTTCTGTCAGTCCTTATTCCCTTATCCTTCTGCTAAGGGCTTCCCCCAGAGTATCTCCAGCTGAGCCCCTTCACTGAATAGATTAATATTCTTAAGTCCCGGTGAATGTGTCCCTCTAGATGGTTAATGGGATCCTCAACATCAATGTCTTCTTGGTTCCAAAAGCAGTTTGTCCTCCCTGGATTCTTCACCTTAGTGAATTTTTCCATCATCTCCCAGTTCCTCAGGTCAAGGAGAAGCTCCTTCCTCTCTCATTCTCCAAATGCCTACCTCACCAAATCTTACCAAATTTATCCTTCTACAATTCCCTCCAATCCATCAAATCATCTCTGTCTTCTCCTAGTCACTGCCATAGCCGAGGCCACCACTAGCTCTGATTAAAGGACCCAAAGTCCAACTAATAATACCAGGCCTGGGGCACCTGCGTGATGCAGTTGGTTAAGCATCGGACTCTTGGTTTTGGCTCAGGTCATGATCTCAGGGTCATGAGACTGAGCCCTGTGTTGGGCTCTGTGCTCAGCAAGGAGTCTGGGAGTTTCTCCCTCTGCCTCTCTGTCCCACGTGAGCACACACCCGCTCTCTCGCTCTTTCTCTCTAAAATAAATAAATCAAATTTAAAAACAAAAACAAACCCAATACCAGTTCCATGGCAGACTTTTCCAGGAACCAGGTTGGACATGATGAGGCTTTTGTTTGTTTCTTTTCCTTCAAATTTTACGATGAGACTTTTGAAGAGAACATGAATTGCTTTTTGCCTCTCTTTTCTTTATGACTCCTTTGAAAGCGGGAAATTACTTACATACCTAAAACAGATTTTGATCCTGACTGACATAAAAAAATTTTGGTACTACCTCACCCTAGTTTCTCAAACCGACCAAGACTTGTCTTAGTTTCCTAAGAAGTTCGGATTTCACAGAAGAGTGGCAGGAATGTCAACTCTGTCCTACTACTAAACAGGTGTCAAAGTTGTCACTAAAATGCCTGTGGTAGTTTGGGAAGCCCCTGAAGGCACCGGACAATTCCTTGTAGTCCTCCCCAAACATGCTGACAGTGAGAATCAGATTTTGTTGCCCTAACCCTGTGGGGCAAATCTACAAGATGGCTGCTAAGGTAAGGCAGCAATGTCCTGCCAAGACCTGACCCTCTGCTGCATGAGAATGATTGAGTTAATAGGCCCCACTTCCTCAGAAAGTGAGTTTGCATACATCTGTTTGCCCTGCTTATGGTTTGCTGGCCCTCTGTGAGGGCAGGGGGCTCAGTCAGGCTGAGGAGAGAACCCTTCCTTTGTCAAGACCCAGACCTGCCAGTTGTGTCTCACCTTTGACAGGAAACCAGTTAAGACCAACCAGGGAGGGCCTCCACTGTCCAATACCAGTGAGGAACCAGGCCCCAATTCCCCAGTGCTCTTCCTCTTCTGCTTTCATTCACTGTTTTCCTTCCACACCCTGCAATCTTTGAGTTTGGTGAGTGAGCACTCCACTGTTGTGGTGGGAGGAAGAGAAGTGGGTAGAAATGTGAGGAAAGAGGTGAAGGCAGATCCTAGCCAGTCCCACTAAGCTAGGCCATGGCAGACACATAGGCTGTCCTCCAATCTCAGGGCCATGGGCAGGTCTGGGATATCTTTGGTATTTTAGGTTGTTGGTATCTTCCTTTTGAATCTGATTTGGTATCAGTTCAAGGCATATGATCCTGGGAAGGAAGGGCCCCGACATGGAAATCCGCACGCTCAGGCATCAGCTCAGCCACTAATGGCTCGGACACTCTGGAAGTAACTCTTCCTCTGAGAAGGAATTACTCTGGAAGTAACTCTTCCTCAGGCTGCACCTTTGAAAACAAATCTCAATGGATGAGATGCTGTGTGCAAAGGTGTCATTCCTGCACAGCTCTAAGTCACTGCTGCTTCAGCTTCTAACTAAGTCACAGAGGATCCCACCATGTACTGTTGGTCTGAGCAGGGAATGAAGCCCTGGGCAGGGACCTCGGAGCCTGTATTGATCTCCTAGGTCTGCCTTAACAAAATACCACAGACTGGGTGGCTTAAACAACAGAAACTTATTTACTCACAGTTCTAGTGGCCGGAAGTCCAAGATCTCTTTGTCATCAGGTTTGGTTTCTTCTGAGGCCTCTCTTCAGCTTGCAGATGGCTGCCTTTTCACTGTGTCCTCTTATGGTTGTCCCTCTGTGTTGGCTGTATCCTGATCCCTTATTTGTTGTTTTCTTAAAGATTTATTTATTTATTTTAGAGAGAGCTTGTGCTTGCAAGAGCAGGGGAGGGGCAGAGGGAGAGGAAGAGAAACTCAAGCACACTCCCCGCTGAGCGCAGAGCTGCCTCACAACCCTGAGATCATGACCTGAGTCAAAGCCAAGAGTCTGACGCCTGAGACACCCAGGTGCCCTCTGATCTCCTCTTCTTATAAAGAAGACACTGCTCATATTGGATTAGGGCACATCCTAATGACATTTTCTCTATCTATCTATCTATCTATCTATCTATCTATCTATCTATCTAAAGGTTTTATTTGACAGAGAGACACACAGCGAGAGAGAGAGAGAGCACAAGCAGGGGGAGTGGGAGAGGGAGAAGCAGGCTTCCCGCACAGCAGGGAGCCCGATGCAGGGCCCGATCCCAGAACCCTGGGATCATGACCTGAGCCAAAGGCAGACGCTTAATGACTGAGCCACCCAGGTGCCACCCTAATGACATTTTAACTTAAATGCCTCTTTAAAAGCCCTATATGGCCTTTAAATACAGTCACATTCTGAGGTACTAGGAGTTAGAGCTTCAACACAGGAATTTGGGGGAGGGGGTGGGGGACACAGTTCATAAAAGGGCCTACTCTGAAAATCTCTGAGTCTGGGGTTGAAAACTGGGGACCCCCTCCCTCAGGAACAGCTACAGTCCACACTGCTCTCTCCCCTTCCCCCTCCCCAAAACTCCTTACAAAGGGCAAAAAGTTTTCAAAAGTATTTCTGCCTCAGTTTCTATTCCCCTCAGTGCATTTTCACCAACCTCTATAATGGTTTCACCTGTGAACAAAAACACAAACTCTGGCCTCTTCCAGGTACAAACAAGTGGTGTTCAAAGATAAGAAGAGGTGTCACCCACGCACTTGCTGGTGAGTCTTGTGCAGGGCCGGCTTTCCAAGGTCCTGTCCCACTCTTCTAGTTAAACCGACTCATTTCTAAGACACCAAGAGGCCTTAAGACTTCCACTTTCGTCTGGTGTATGAATCGCCCCTCTGAAATAAAGTCAAGTCTCTGCCCTCACAGATTCTGGGGCGGACGAATGTAACCAAGGAAGGACAGCAGGGCATGCTGTGCCTTCCATTGGTTCCAGCCGCCCAAGAGCTTGAACTACGAGCGCCCTGCGCTGGGTAACTTCTCTATTACCTGCACCAAGCGGTCTCTCCATCTGGGGTTTTCCTCCCGGACGAACAGGAGTCTCCTGCTGCGGACTGAGCAGGTAACGGTACCGCGGAGTGGCCTCGGTTAAAGCGGCCTTTGAACCTTCCCGCTGCGGCAGCTCTGACAAAACCCACACGACTGTCAGAACTGAGGGCCGGGCTACAGAAGCCCGACCCTCTTTGTCCTCTGGTCCATTCCTGCCTGGAGCCGCCCATACTCCCTGCCTTAAGGTTCATTGGCATTGAAAAGGGGGGAGGGGCAAGATTGGGGACAATGAGAATGTCAAGGACTTAAGACCTCTGGCAAAGTCGCTCAGGCGCACGAGGGACTCTTGACACACTGGGTGGAGTAAGGGGTTGAGTGGCACACGCTAAATAAATCCCGCGGACCCGAGAAGCCGGGCCATTACTGACACCCAACCCGCAGGCAAAGCTCGGGAATGCCGAACTTGAGCCGGCAGAGGCCGGGCGATACGAAGGTGGCGGTTTCCCTCCGCAGCCGGAGCGCCGCGCCTCTCGGGGCCACTTCCGGCGGGGGCGTGGAGGCCGCCCGCGCGCGGCGATGGCCGCGCCGCTTCCCGTGGCCTAAACAGGCCGCCCGGGCCTGCCCTGGACGGCGAGTCCCGAGCGTCCCCCAGGGACTCCTCGCCGACTCGGCCCCCTCTCGAGCCCGAAAGCCCCTCCCCTTCTTACAGATTACAACCCCCGGTCGCAGTAGAGCGCGTAAAGACGCCCCCCGCGGCCCCCCCCCCCTCCGAAGGGCCCGAAGAGTAAAGCGAGCGGGCACCGCCGTCTCCCAGGAGCACAACTGGGGGTCCCGGCCGCCCCGGAGTAGGAAGCCAGCGAACAGGGTATCCTCCACCCGGCGCGTGGTCTTTACGCTGCCTGTGGGGGCGCCCGGCTTGACCCCGCCCGAACGTCCCACCCTCCCGCGATAGAGGAGCGTCCGCCGGGAAGGAGCGGACGACTAAGTGGCACAGCTTCTTCCGAGTGCTGTCGTGGGTGGCTCTGAAAAGAGCCTTTGGATGGATAGGATGGAAGCTCGAGCCGGGCGCGCACTTTAAGCCCGCTCCCCGCGGATGCGGCGGGCCAGCTGGATGTCCTTGGGCATGATGGTGACGCGCTTGGCGTGGATGGCGCACAGGTTCGTGTCCTCGAACAGCCCCACCAGGTAGGCCTCGCTCGCCTCCTGCAGCGCCATCACGGCCGAGCTCTGGAAGCGCAGGTCGGTCTTGAAGTCCTGCGCGATCTCGCGCACCAGCCGCTGGAACGGCAGCTTGCGGATCAGCAGCTCGGTGGACTTCTGGTAGCGCCGGATCTCGCGCAGGGCCACGGTGCCCGGCCGGTAGCGGTGCGGCTTCTTCACGCCGCCCGTGGCCGGCGCGCTCTTGCGGGCCGCCTTGGTGGCCAGCTGCTTGCGCGGGGCCTTGCCACCGGTCGACTTGCGGGCGGTCTGCTTCGTGCGAGCCATAGCGAACCAAGACACCAGCTCACCAGCGCAGCGGCAGCGAGAGTAACGCGGCCGCCGCCCGCCGCACCAGTCTTTATAGGCACCGTCTTTTTCCGATTGGGCGGGACAATAATTGAAAGTCCCGCGCTGGCTGTCCATTGGCTATGACGTCACCCGCCCTGCCGCCACCCATTGGCTTGGGCAGAATCCTCCCCACCCCCGCCCACCCGCCTCGCTCAGGCCGCTTTCCAGTTTGCCAACAGTCTTCCCTACCTTGTTTTTCCTTTCTCTTCGGCCGGCGGGGGAGGCCCACTTGCGTTCATAACCGTGTCAGAATGTTGTTCCTCCTCGGCCCTTCGCCCCCGTAGAACACCGCTCCGCGCCCCCTTCCTCCCCCCCCACGCCACGCCGTCTCCCCAGTTCAACCTCAAACTTGCGTTTGCTCCCCGTCCCCCAAAACGCCTTGTGACCTTTGAGGAGCCCCCTCGTTCGTCTGACGGATCTTTTTTCCCGCCTGCCGGTGGTTTTCAGATTGGAAAGTTGTCTCGCCCACCGCCCACCGCCCACCGCCCACCGCCCACCGCCCACCGCCCACCGCCTCTCGAGCGCAAGATCCCGCCTCCAGAAACCTGTACCGCCGCTGCGAGGGCCGTCCCTCACTTTTACTGGACTAAGACCGCCGACTCAGTTAAGCCAAGGACCAGGTCCGCCCCTGCCGACCGGGGGCGCACGTGTGTGCCGGGCAAAGGCCTCGGGAACGCGGCGAGCTGCGCACTCGGCACCGGCACCCACTCCTGAGACAGGAGTCGGGGACCGCCTAACAGGACTCGGGACCCAACCGACCGTGGCTGCACCCAAGGCGGTTCGGCCCCTCTACCAACCGAAATGAAGATGGTCGAGCGCTCAGGGTTCGAGAGGCGAGCAACGCGGGAGGGACAACCCCCTCGCCTCGCCTCCGTGTCTCCGGGGGGCTCAGCCTACTACTTGGCAAAGGCGGAACGCAAAAGACCGGCTACTGTTAACAACTCTTTTATTTGAGAGAGTGGGTGGCTCTTAAAAGAGCCTTTGATTTCACAGTTGCCCCCTTCGAGACCAGGGCTGGCGGGGCTTCCCGACGCCGGCCTCACTTGCCCTTTGCCTTGTGGTGACTCTCCGTCTTCTTGGGGAGCAACACGGCCTGGATGTTGGGCAGAACGCCGCCCTGGGCGATGGTGACTTTGCCCAACAGCTTGTTCAGCTCCTCGTCGTTGCGGATGGCCAGCTGGAGGTGGCGGGGGATGATGCGCGTCTTCTTGTTGTCTCGGGCCGCGTTCCCCGCCAGCTCCAGGATTTCCGCCGTCAGGTACTCCAGCACCGCGGCCATGTACACCGGCGCGCCGGCCCCCACCCGCTCGGCGTAGTTGCCCTTGCGCAGCAGGCGGTGCACTCGGCCCACCGGGAACTGCAGGCCGGCGCGGGACGAGCGCGACTTGGCCTTGGCGCGGGCCTTGCCTCCCTGTTTGCCACGACCAGACATGACAGCGACGCTCGCGGCCAACACCTCCCGCTGGACGACCGAGAAAGTCGCCGCAAAGCGCCCCGCTTCACCCTTTTATAGGCAGAACCCGGATTGTCTACGGAGCACTTCGATTGGCTCAAGCAGATCTTTGTCCTGACGGCCAATAGGGCGGCTCGGCCAGAATCCGCTCATTTACATAATCTCGTCCCCCGCGCAGGAGCGCCGCCGAAAAATCGCGAATCACGACGCGGCGTAACCAGAGCCTTAATTTGCCTACGGCCTCTTTAAGGACCGAGGCGCTTCCGGTAGCCTGGGTCTTACTGTGCTGCGTGCTTTTCTGGTCCGCTTTTGTCTGTCGCTCGCGCTTCCCGCTATGCCCGAGCCGGCAAAATCCGCTCCCGCGCCCAAGAAGGGCTCCAAGAAAGCGGTCACCAAAGCCCAGAAGAAGGACGGCAAGAAGCGCAAGCGCAGCCGCAAGGAGAGCTACTCCATCTACGTGTACAAGGTGCTCAAGCAGGTGCACCCCGACACCGGCATCTCGTCCAAGGCCATGGGCATCATGAACTCCTTCGTCAACGACATCTTCGAGCGCATCGCCGGCGAGGCCTCCCGCCTGGCGCATTACAACAAGCGCTCGACCATCACGTCCCGGGAGATCCAGACGGCCGTGCGCCTGCTGCTGCCCGGCGAGCTGGCCAAGCACGCCGTGTCCGAGGGCACCAAGGCGGTCACCAAGTACACCAGCTCCAAGTGAGTCCCTGCCGGGACACGGCGCTCGCATGAGTCGCCGGCCGCTTGACTCCAAAGGCTCTTTTCAGAGCCACCCACCTTCTCGGTGAAAGAAGCTGTTAACGTGCTGTGTTATGACTCCTAGTTTGTTTTTTGGGCTGCTTTTCTAGTACATTAAATTCATGCCTGTCCAAATAAAATGTCTGTCTTTTCAGTTAGGCGGCAGAATACGTTTATGTAGGTTGGTGAAAAACTAAAGGGGCACAGGTACGCTTGCTTGTCGGAGAGGACTGTTCTTGAAATGGCTTTAGCTTTGCTGCGTGCAGAACATGTGTACTAAGCTGTTAGAAAAACTGTGTTGATTTTTGATAAACTTATTTTTGCACGGTAAAAAAGGATAAAACCAGCAACCTATGGTGTTCCCAATGGGTAAAACGGTGGTGGTACTTAAATACTTAGTTATGTGTGCTAAGAAATGATAGCTTTTATATTTGGTTCCAACAAATTTCTCGAGTCCGTATCCTTGATTCACAAGTACCTGCCTAAATCATTTATGTGAAAATTCCCCGTTTAGGAAAACTGAAGCTGATTTTGATAAAGGAGTTAGCCTTTAATGGTGGTGCTTCCTCTCTGCTCCTCCACTCCTAATCAAATCCCACAAAACCTGCCTAAAATGGTAATAGTGATTTCCCCCCCAAAATTGTTACTTAGAATAGTTTGTCTGATTTAAAGGCTATTTCCACACACGGGGAACAAAAAATGGGTAATTTCTGAAGCAGGAAAAGAGTCTGAAATGCTAGAGGTACAGAAAGCCCAATATGGCTGGGAAAATGAAAAGGAAGTTGATTTGACGGTTTGTTCTCAGTTTTAGGAACTCTTGGATTGTTTTAGGCAGGGATCTGCATAATATGACCTCATTAACCTTAAAAAAGATTACTCTGGTTGCTTAGTGGGTCATAGATCCTAGATTGTCCACAGAAGAAGCAAGAAAACCAATTAAGAGGCTATAGTAGTGTTGTGGATTAGAGCAGTGATTCCTGAAATCTGGTCTCCAGATCAGCAGCGTCAGCATTACCTGAGAATCTATTAAAAGTGAGAATTTCAGGCCCCGATAATCTGTTAAAAGATCCTTTGGGTGGTTCCAATGGGTGCTAAAGTGTGAGAACCACTAGGAAGTCTAGACACTTTGGATTGGAATACAGTGGTAATAATGGTGATGGTTAGATATGTTGGAATTAGGATTATATTTGGGAGGTAAAATTAGGTTTTGGTGAGGAATAAGATTATGTAAGAGCAAAACCCCTAAGATTTTGGTTTGAACAACTGGTGCTGTGTGTATATTTTTTTAAAGATTTGTTTATATGAGAGTGTGTGCTGTGGGGTGGGGCAGACAGGGAGGGAGAAGGAGAGATTCTCAAGCAGACTCCCTGCTGAGCAGGGAGCCTGAGGCAGGACTGAACCCCGCCCCCCCACTCTGAGATCATGACCTGAACTGAAAAGACGCTTAACCAACTGAACCTCCCATACACCCCTGAACGTCTGGTGCTGTTAATTAGGATGGAGTATGGGGAGGAGGTGTGGGTTGGGGCATTAAAGAGTGATCCAGAGTTGTGATTTAAATTCGAGAAGCTTTTTTTTTTTAAAGATTTTATTTATTTATTTGAGAGAGAGAATGAGAGAGAGAGCAGGAGAGGGAGGAGGGTCAGAGGGAGAAGCAGACTCCCCGCCGAGCAGGGAGCCCGATGCAGGACTCGAGCCCGGGACTCCAGGATCGTGACCTGGGCCAAAGGCAGTTGCTTAACCGACTGAGCCACCCAGGCGCCCTAAATTCGAGAAGCTTTTTGACATTCAAGTGGATATATGGAGTTGGCAATTTGAGAACTGCATGTAGGGCTCAGTGAAAAGAACACAAACACAGCGCAGTGGGGAGGAAGGCTATCGCCTTAAAGAATTCTTCCAGATGATTTCTCCTTATGTTTCCTTAAAGTATTCAAGACTTTATTTCTTCTTCT